ATGTTCATCCTTTTCATCCTATTTCCTAGGCTTTTCGTTTCATTTATAACAAACTGCATTTACCAACCACTAAATGAACAAACATACCAGAATGTGTCATGAAATTCTTCCACACCCCATTCCAGGAGAAGTTTCACAAAGCCACATACAACCCACACATTATCATCCTGTGAAACTTTAACCACTTTATCCAAGGGTCTCCTTCTACAGAAGTCCATGCATTGAAGGAGGTTGACAATTATGCTCTGTGTGTGTGTCAGTAATTTGTTTGAATTTATACAAAACACCATGTATAATTGTGAAATGATATAATTGCAAGAGACATGGATTACTTCCATGCTCAGCTGCACGGTGCGCCATTCCTGGGCAAACATTCCAGGCTGTTCAGCTGCATCTCAGAAATGATATTTTGCTCATCTAACTTTATCTCAGTGAAAGAGGTCTTTGTGCAATTAATTATGATGACAGGCAGGGAATCTAGGGGCTATAGGTGGTCATAAGCTGAACATGAGTCAGATAGGCGATGCTACTCCCAGAAAGGCAAATGCTGTTTGGAAGATGCATTAGAAGCAACGCTGTACTGGAGGCGCAGGCCTGCTTTACAGCGCTTGTGCCCGCAAATGGAGGGAGAAAGCACCCAGCTTTGATAGTCATGTTGTGAATGGATATTAACACACTGAAATAAATTCAGAGGAAAAAAGCAGTGGGATGCAAGACATGCGGAGAGGTTGAAGACAATAAAACATATTTATTGTAGACAGAGGCAGATTAAGTTGGAACGTGGTTTTAAATACTTATAAGCTGCTCTCAAGGAGCGGGAATGACAGCTATGCTTCACTGTGACAGAAGAAAGGGTGAAAGCAACAGTTTTATGGTGCAGTGGTAGGTATTTAAAACAGAAATGAGCAATGGGACAAGTTACCGAGAAAAGTTAGGGGATAACCTTTCATTTTCCAAAATATTTTTCCTAACTTTTATCAGAAAAAGAAGTATAAGAGGTGGTAGTCAGGAATGTCTTGGAATCCCTGCTTTAGAGCAGTTGGACGAACCTTTTAGAGATCCCTCAGACTAAGGTGGTGTGTATGCTGCAAAGCCATAGAAGAACAGAAAATTCAGAATAGGTCCCTGGCCATCAGAGAACTTCACTTTTCTTCCCCTTGTTAGAAGCAAGTTTCTAGCCTATATGGTTGTGAATATATGGTTTCCCTCCCACTGGGAACCATGGGAAATTCACAGGCTTTAAAGCAGCTCCAGAGATTATCTAAATTTTTCTCTGGCTGGGGAAAGAAACTGGAATGGCTTGCAGTTCTCCAGCATGCACCCCAAACTGCCCCAAAGTGGATCACCCTCTCTAACATCAGAACTCTGCTTCCTTATTGAAAGGAGAGCTGGTTTGTCCCACAGATCCTAAGGTGCCTTCCCAAGAGCCATAGTATTTCATGCACAGGGACTTTCCTGGCCACCGAAATAGTCCTGCAGCCTACGAAAGAGTGGAACCTTCTGAGACCATCATAGAAACACGCACTAGAGATTCTGCCTATAAAAAGGGAGTTAGCAGAACATGTCATTACATGTCTTGACCACAAGAGGACCCCCTTATTACACACAATATGCATGATCTGAATTGGGGAGCCAAGCAACTTGAATGGAGATGCATGAAAATTGCTTGTGTCAACCCAGGATAAAAAGGGAAACTAGTAGCTCTCGATGGTACAGGGTGAGCTTACCAAGGACCAAGCAAATAGTGTAAAACCCAGCCCAGAAAACATCCTCTTCCAGAGGATGTTGGACTCCAAGTCCCATCTGTCTCAGCCAGCAAAGGCCACCGTCAGGGATGGAGTTGTAGTCCAACAACTGGAGGGCTGCATGTTCCCCATCCCGGTTATAACGTATGAACACTGGACAACTGCTGAGATGACAAATTTAACTAAGGTTGTTCAAATTGTAAGAGGGAAGAGGAATGGTTGCTGTTTTGAGAACTGCATGATGTCTTTTGTAAATTATTATTATTATTGTAATTGTAAACAGTATAATCTTGATGTAAACAGATGTAGTTGTCATATTGTATGAATAATGTCTCATATACTTGTGCTCATTCAAGATTGTGAGAATACATGTTCTGATGTAAAGTCAAATGGATGAGAGGTGTGGATTAGCTGTAATTAAGGAGGCTGGTGGAGCAAAAGCTTCTTCTCCCCACTCCCTAACCCAAACCTCTTGGACGGGAGGCTCCAGAATAATAATAAATTATTATTATTTATACCCTTCCCATCTGGCTGGGCCTCCCTAGCCACTCTGGGTGGCCCCCAACAAAATATCAAAACACAGTAATGCATCAAACATTAAAAGCTTCCCTAAACAGGGCTGCCTTCAGATGTCTTCTAAAAGTCTGGTAGTTGTTGTTCTTTTTGACATCTGGTGGGAGGGCGTTCCACAGGGCAGGCGCCACTACCAAGAAGGCCCTCTGCCTGGTTCCCTGTAACTTGGCTTCTCGCAGTGAGGGAACCGCCAGAAGGCCCTCAGAGCTGGACCTCAGTGTCCGGGTAGAACGATGGGGGTGGAGACGCTCCTTCAGATATACTGGACCAAGGCCGTTTAGGAATGGAATGTGGAATGGGGTCTGAGGAGCTACTGGGTAGACTCACCCAGAATTGTCCTTTGCCCAAGAGGGCCCCCAAACACCTGGAGAAGCAGGTAGTTGCATGGAGGAGGGGGGAACTTTCCTTCTGTTACCTTATCTTAAGATCCAAGTTATTCGTCTGTACTTCAGAATCATGCCACCAGCTTACTAATCTCAAGCACAGATCCCAGCACAACTGGATACTGTGACCTCAAATCATGGAGGCCCACTTTTTTTTTTAGTTTCTCCTATGAAGCAATTACGTTAACTTAAATGCCATGCCAGATTGCTCAAAGTAGACAGCACTACAAATCTGGCCTTTCCCCCATAGCTCACCATGACATAAACCGGTTGGTCTAGTTCAGGGAGCAGCTCCAGAGTGATGAGCTGCAAAGGAAGGAAAGGCTCTTGTACCTTTAAGAGAAGAGGGGTTTGGGGCAGGTGGTTCTAGTCGTGCAGAACCAAAAAAAGCAACACTTACTCAACACTAATATTTAATGGCACAAGAGCTCATTCCTCCCTTGCCTCCTGTCACCCTACAGGTAGGCAGCATTTCTGTAGGTGTCTGTCCTCCAGACCTTTAGCAACACAGACTGAAATATTCAGTGTAGGGCACATGGCTTCTGTCTGCATTGCAGAAGTGAGGATCCAACCAGCAGGGCTCAAAACAGGGATGGGCAACCTGGGATAAGTCAGTTGGTAGAGCACGAGACTCTTGATCTTAGGGAAGTTTTAAATGTTTGATATTTTATCGTGTTTTTAATATTCTGTTGGGAGCTGCCCAGAGTGGCTGGGGAAACCCAGCCAGAAGGGCAGGGTATAAATAAGTTATTTTTTATTATTATTATTATTATTATTATTATTATTATTATTATTAATCTCAGGATCAAGAGTTCAAGCCCCATATTGGGCAGAAGATTCCCGCATTGCAGGGGGTTGAACTAGATAGCCCTTGTGGTTCCTTCCAACCCTACGATTCTGTTAATGTAATTGCACCACAACTCCCATCAACCCTGACCACTTGGTCATACTAGCTGGGACTGATGGGAGTTGGAGTCCAACAGCACCTGGAAGTTCAGAGGTTCCTCATCTTTACCTTAAGCACTGTGTTTTGAGAGTACAGACTTTCAGGAAGGAGGGTCCACTTGAAACTGTGGGACCGGTCCGAGTGTGGGGTGTCTTTAGAGACACACCTGGTGTGTGTCTTTAGAGACACACCTGGAGGAGGTGGTGTGGTTGTCCTTCTGACTTACAGCAACACCCATGTGAACCTGCGCTGCCAGTAAAACATCCCCAGGTCTCATTACCCTAGCAAGCATAAGCAGCATCTCCTTGAAGAGCTGGGGAGGGGAGGCCTGTGATACAGTGAAAATGCAACTAGTGGCTAATGACTTTGACAACTACATGTGATCTAGCACTGTGAATTTTCTCACAGGGGCCAAGTCTCCCTTCTGCTCTCGCCACAGGCCAAATCTCTGGGAAGAAGAAAAAATCCATTATAAAAGAAGATTACAGTCATCAGGGTTGAATTGAGACCCCCTCATAAACTACAGTGCAGAGGCTCCATTGAGGTTTAGGGAAGCTGCAAGTATGCTGCTGCCCCCAAACTCTTACCACCTGGTTGCCCAAGTGCCCACCCCAGTCATTGTAAAAGAAACAACACCGGGGGGGGGGACACCCCTTCCCTGCAGGAGCAGGAGGCTTTGATGATTTGGAGCTGTGGTTAGTGCCTGGGTGTGAATTGTGGCTCCCTGCCACCAGCACAAAGCTACTGACAAAGGGCAGGGAAAGCACTGTGCCTTCTGAACTCAGATCAAGGGAGGGAGAGAGCTAGGAGGATTGTGGTCCAGCAGTTCCTCTAGCTTTACCTTTAGGCAGGCCAGGAATTGCCCTCCAAGCCGCACTGTGACCAACGTATCCTACTGAGTTTGTCTTCTAAAGCAACAATACAGTAAGTCAAGATGGAGAGCACTTCAAACGCTTTTACTTTCCCATTAACAGTTCCATCACTCGCCAACAGACCAATCCACAGAATCCTATTGCAGACCAGCACTGATCTGAATTAGTCCAATTACTGTATAAAGGGTCTTGTTCTACATCTCCATGACAGATCAAAGCGTCTATTGGCTCCTCAATAATATTATATTGGGGAAAAGGTGTGTCCCCCCCCCCACATACCAGATCAAGCCACCTTTCAATTTAGTTGCTAAGTAACTTCTCCCTTTCCCCTCAAGTTCTTCACTGCATCAGCAATTTCAAATTCCTCTATGGGAGCATTACACAGCATCCAGGTGGTACTTACAGCGAACATGGAGGCAGCTTTAGAATGCCATCCCTGTTGCATCATTAGTCCAGCCAAGGATCTAATTCATAACAGAACTTAAAACATGTTAACAGGTTTTATTGTCTTTCAGCAATCACAGCAATCCTTTGTTTCCAAAAGAACAGAGCACAAGGGGACCTTATTGCGCTGATCCCTAAGTGATACACTGCAGAGGTACAACATGGAGGTGGGCAAAGGAGCCTGTGTGGCTAAGGGGATAACTACAGCTCACTAAGGTGTATTTCCCTAAGGGTCACCTAGTCTAACACAAGAACTGGGAAGGGCCCATGACTCAGTGGAAGAGCACCTGTCCTGCAAACAGATGGTCCCAGATCTTCGGTTCCTAGCATCTCCTACTTAAAAGGGTCATGTAGCAAGAGACTGGGAATATCCCTGAGACCCTGGAGAGCCACTGCCAGTCAGAGTAGACATTATTGGGCTAGATGGGAAAATAGTCCGATCTGGTATTAGGCGACTTCCAATAAGTTCTGAATCATCAGCTAAGGCAAAGTGTATTCTGCTGTTTGCATCCTAATCAAGCCATACAGATGCAAGATGTGGTAAAGCACTGTGTCACAGTTCAGCACCCTGAGAACTGCAGCTTCATTTTTAAAAGGGGGGGGGAATCAAGTTTCAAGCCTTTAAGTCTGTGAAGACATGTTTGAAAGTGTGCAGGTAGCGCTTCAAGGAGTCTCAGTAGTGTACAGGTGTTTCAGCAGCATTTCTGGGTAGATGGACCTCAGTGAGTGTATTTTTGTGTTTTTATATTGTAAACGCCCTGTGATCCTTGGATGAAGGGCAATACAGAAATTTAACAAAGAAATAACAAATTAGTACAGAATTATGTTTACCTTGCCACAGAAGTCTGATATTTAACTGCAAACTATATCTGAAACGTTCTTAAGAGATGCCGATCCAGCCTCTTCTTGGTACTCAGAGAAGCATATACCCCAAAGCTGTTTCACTGTCCGATTCTTCTTAGTGCTAGGAAAGTACCTCCAAGTACTTATTCCATCCAAAGCTACCCTCCTGCTGTGTCTTCACTTCATGCCGTTCTCTGTCCCTTCCCTACTGGCTTGCTGAGTTCAGTAGCTCCCTCTCCTTTATTCACCTATTGAAAGGACTAACAAGAAGTTCCAAATGCTGAAACCATACCAAGCTCTACAGTTAGCATAAATTACGCAAATAAACAATCCTGTGCCACCATTTGGGGAAGGGTAGGATTCTAAAACTTTTAAAACATTTCCCAAGGCCAGCAGCAGGGTGGGAGGGAGAATATAATGTCAGCTTGAAGAGATTAATCCTGAGATGGAAATCCATGACACTTCATTTCTTGGCAAACAAACCACAAACCCCCTCTCAAATGTACAGCCTTAGCAGAAAAGCAGCCTCTCCAAATAAGAGAAGCTAGCAGCCTTAAAAGGATGCTACCTTCGCAAAGGTGTATTTAAAATCCATTCTTAAAAATCTTTTCATTCCCCCCACCACTCTTCCTCCGCCTTTACATGGGAGTTTCAATGTGCAAAATCGCTTTACAAATTTTCTCATTCATTCATTAAAACTGGTCGGTGAGGTAGGTTAATTTGCCCTTAGTGCCTCTCTAATGGCAATCCATTAAAAAACTGAATCCATTCAGGGCCTTGGGCTTTTCCTTCCAGTAGCACAAAGAAGGACCAGCTCCCCTTAATCACACAAGTCCTCCTGTCTTTAGCACCCGCAAGAATTTGCCAAGGAAAGCAGACAAGTCTGCAGAGGCTGGAAGGTCCCAAGTGAGTCACATGCAAGCACCCCGAGGGCATCCTCAAATAGCTCTCTTCCTGTCCTTTGTCACCAGTCCCTCTCGGGGGGCTCCCGATAAGGCAACCCCAGGTGAATGAAGATATCCTTCTCGGTGGGAGTAGACAGGGCCACGCCAGGCACTGTTTTGAGGCCACCGGCTCCACGCACCACCCCGCTGCTGAGGGCATGCTCCGACAGGCTCATGCCCTTGGTCTTGGCCAGAGCTCGCATGGAGCGGTTGAAGTGGGCTGAGCCAGTGAAGTAGAGCAGGGCACAGGCAAACTCACTGTAGGGCACCACAATGATGTCAAGGCGCCGGTGGCGCCGGCCTGGTCCTGGCAGACGACAGACCCCGAGGTATTTCTTCTGGCTTCCATTGTCTTCCTGACTCACCAAATCGTCTGTCAGGAAGCCTGTGGGGAAAGGCACAAGTCAGGGAGTTTGGCTGGCAGAGTGCCTGGAACATGTGCAGGGGACGGCGATCAAGATGATCTGGAAACCAAGCCTTATGAAGGAGCTGGGTATGTTTGGCCTGGAAAGCAGAGGCTGAGAGAAGATGTGACAGCCATCTTCAAATATCTCAAAGGCTGTCACATGGAGGATGGAGCAAGCTTGTTTTCCCCTGCTCTGCAGGGTAGGACCTAAACCAATGGATTCAAGTTACAAGAAAGGAGATTTCGACTAAACATCAGGAGGAACCTTCTGACAGTAAGAGCTGTTCGATAGTGGAACAGCCCTCAGGAAGTTGTGGACTTTCCTTCCCTGGAGATTTTTAAGCAGAGGTTGGGTGGTTATCTGTCGTGAATGATTTAGTTGAGATTCTTGAATTGCAAGGGGTTGGACTAGATGACTGGGGGGGGGTCCCCAATTCTATGATTCCTGCAAGGATTGTTTTCTGTCCCCACTCAGTTGTAAGCCTGTGCTGGAGGGCTCCCTGCTTGCTAGCATCAGTACTGGGCTCCTGGGATCTGGTGGAACACTGTTAAATACTGGCCTGATTCTGCAGGGGTCTTATGCTCTTATCAAGATTGTATATCACCAAGACAATTCATGGTGTTCCAATATACAAGAGACCTGTACTACCTGATCATGATCAGCATTCCGGTCTCTCAAAATATACGTTCTCTCCTAAAAGAACATCTGAGACATAGCTAAACCAGTATCTTGGAGAACGGCAAGAGTAAAGCCTTTCACCAAAATTTGGCTAGAGATAGAGGCTCCATTGCCCTTGTATGTTGGCACTAAGAGCAAAAAGTCCAAAATGTGAGCAAGAAGCTAATCAAACCTGCTATATTCATTAGGTTGTGGCCTCATATTTACAGTATAATAGGTGAGAAGAGGCTCTGACATTCATACAGAGAAGTATGTCAAGAAACAGAATCACCCATGTTGTCATATTATGGCAGGCACTATAAACCATTCCTTCTTATAAAGTCCTTTATGCAGCGAGCCCAACTATCTACATGGGGGGGGGGGGGAGAGAAGATGGTTCCTTCCAAAGAAGTCCCAGATACAGGCACTTTTAGTGCCATGATGAACTGCCAAGACAAGCTCAACATGGCAGTGCCAGATACACATTCTGGATTCCCATTCTGCTGATTTCAGAGTGGTGAAAAGGTTCAACAGTGTGACCCCTTACCCTGCCCTGCCACATTCCAGCCCCACAGATACCCTCATACCACTTTTCCGGAGGCTATCAAGCAGCTTGCTGAACACTCCTTGGTGCGAGTGCCCATCAGGGTGAGTCACCAGCACGTCCACATCCCCACAGGTGGACTTTTCCCGCCGGAACGAGCCACACGCGACACACACCAGCCCAGGATTGATCAACAGGGCTGCTTCTCTGACCTGCAGTGAAAGACAGTGTAGAGGTGTAGTTGTTGATTTCAAGTATCTTTCCATTCCCATCCACTGTGGTGATTCAATTACCCCCAGCAGTGTGGGTAAAACAAAACAAAACAAAGCATACACCATAATTCAAATTCTTTTGTCAAGACAGCTGAATTCTTTTGCTTGTATGAATCATTGAATCATTAAATTTATTCTGCTTCTGCTGGGCATGAGGGAGGGCAAGAAGTCCAGCCCCTTCGCAACAGAAAATTGTACTGAGCCCGACTGGGGTTTGGGAGTTTACTGTAAATTTATCTATATGCTTGCAAATTTAACTTCAAACTCTCACAGTGGTGATAATGAATGCTAAAATTCTCAGGATGCTGTATTACACGAGTTTTTACGTATGCAGGTTAGCTAACTTGTGACCCATTTGTAGTTTGGGTGACAGGTGACAATAACCCTTCCAAACTATGGGATGTTACTCTGCAGCATAAACAAAGCATTCTGTCCAAAGCTGTAATGAAGCAGGTTGGAAAAGAGTGGGACCTGGGACCTTTTAGCAGAGAAGGGTGGTAGCAAAATATGTGACGCAGCAGAAACCAGACCTAAAGTCACCAGGACATCCAAAATTCATAAGGGATTAGTATTTTGGGCTGGCGTAAGGCTGGCTAACCCCGGCACTCTCCTCCTGCAGGGCTGGGCCATTTCCCATTTCATGGAAGGAAAACTCTTGGCAGTGAAGAGCAAAATGTCCTGCTGGAGCAGCAGCCAAACCCTAGACTGCTGGAAATCACATCCCAGTGGGTGGGTGCCCAAAGAAGAGTCCCTCGCCCAAGAGCTTCTCTGCACCAGCATACTTCTGATGGCTTCATTTAAAAGCATCGCTTGAAGGTGATTTCAGAATTCAGGATTATGGGTATCACGGTGCCAATAATGCATCTTACTAAACAAAGACATGATTGCTGGTTCAGAACATAGAGAGTGGCATGGGTAGAGGGAAAGGAAACAGTTGTGGGGCTGGGCGGTGGCAGGGGGGAGGGTCTGAGTGCTCCTTGTCAGTCTCCAGGATCATCCTTCATTAGTGAGGGATAAGCTCATTAACCTTTGCCCTGCAACATTTGGGAACAGCTTTCATGGCTTTTCGAATGCAGATCTGTCCCTCTGCATCCTCAATTAAGTTTTCTTGAAAGCAGCCAGCCCCACACAGCACCTTGGGTCTCAGACGGACAGCAGCTAATCCCCTCATTCTCTTGTCTACTCCCTGAGGTGGGCAAGAAATGGGTAATTCCATCAAACCCACAATAGGTCCACTCCCAAGGGCAGGGGCTCCCAAAAGAGCTTTAATCCTGTGTGAGGAATGATGCCCTACCTGGCAACGATGCATTCTTCAGGGGCAGGCACTGTGACTGAGTGACAGTATCATGCTGCCCAGTGCTGCCATGGTGATTTCAATGTACAGGGGAAACAGTGATAAAGGATCACGTAACTTCAGCCTATAAGCCGACAACTTGTAACCCAAAAACAATTTTATGAACTGCCTATTGGCTTCTATGAGCACCATCCTGGTCAAACCCACAAAAGGAAGGGAGACCTGTTCAGAAAGTTAGAAAGCTCCCTTTCCCTACCATGGGGGGGCACAAAGATTTTCAAGGTGTTTTTGCACCACTGCTCTGCCATGATGCAGTCTGAGGATCCTTTTAGAGAAAGACTGGCCTATCAGGTTGGGACAAACAAAGGGGTGAGAATTGCTGGTTTGTAGCAAAAAAAAAAGACAGGTAAGATTACTAGGCTCTCTTTAGAGCTGGGATGGGGAACCTGGGGTCCACCAGATGTTGTTGGGTCTCCAAATCCCATCAGCCAATGGTCAGGGATGATGGGAGCCGGAGTCCAACCACATTTGGGGGACCAAAGCTTCCCATCCCAGTTATACATGTTTGCAGAATCTGGTATGTGCCAAATCACCAACCTGGAGGGAGGAAAGGCAAAACAGGCAGCAGCTTTGCTCATCATCCTTCCCCTTTGAACCGCCAGGAAGTCCAACTATGTGGGACCTACCAGAATTGTGGCTGCCTCAAGAGCTGATTTGACGAGGTGTGTCATGTGACCTGTTAAGCCTCAACATTGCCCTGCCCACAGTCCTCACAGGGGTACTCACCGTCTGCTCAATTTGGGCAGCTTCTTCACGTGGCATGCGCTCCAGCAAGTCCTCATAGTGCTTCAAGCCAATGGCCTGCTGGCTGGTGAGGGAAGCCTTAGTGCGGATGTCATCCAGAGTGCGGAAGCCCTGCCCAGAGGACACATGGGACATGTATGAAGTTCCCTCCTCTAGCACATTAGCAGGTTTTTCCATACCAGTTTCAGCAAGGAAACTAAAGAATTAACTCACATCTAGGGTCCTTGTAACAATACCATAATACAGGCAAAACTGCAGCACTTGTTGACAGCACAGGAGAGAAAATTACCTGCTGGTACCACATCTGAGCAGTCTTGACTCCTGCTCCCCAGATATTGGAAAATACTTCCAGCACTGACACACTCTCACTGATGTGGTCCAGCTTTCGAAGGTGCCCACTCTCCAGGATCTCCACAATCTTTTCTGCCATCTGCTTTCCAATTCCAGGGATTTTGCAGGCTTCCTAAAAAACAGCCACAAACAGTTGTCCAGAAAAAAGGCTACAATGCTGATTTAATCTGGAAATATCATCTGTTTCCAGCTTGGAGATGACTAGGCTCAGCTTGGGCAGGGGGGAATTGGTTCTTGACTCCTGAGGGTATCTAACACAGGCCCTCATCTCCAAGAATCCACCTTCCTAAATTGGGATTTAGAAGCCTATGAATTTTTTGCAAATAAAATCTGATCTTTACTCTTTGACTATAAGATTTTTCTGTCTTTCTCTCAGTGCAGACAGAGACTTCCTCTGCATTCCTTTTAAATGACCAGATGCATAGTGTAGGCTTTTGCTAATTTCATACTTAAGAAATCTCTCTATACAGTGGCCCAAGTAGAAATGGAATGATGCTGCCAAGCCCAGGGAAGTTAAAACACAAGCAATTTGGACCTTACAACTGCCCGGTGCAACAAAGCTGCTGGCTAGCCACACAGGATGCAGTGCAGCCAGGAGTTGCAAGTGTGAGGCAGGAGAAGAGAGGCTAGTTGCTCCATAGACTTAATGGCTGCTCCCAAGAACATTAAGCTGCAGCTGCTTTAGAGAAGACAAGAAAGGATTTGCTTTACAAAAGATCTATCTGAGTTACCTGATAAGAGGTGACTGGCTTGTGGTAGCTCTTGAGGGCGTTTATAGCTTTTGAGTAACCCAGAGCCCTCCACTTGTCCCCTTGGACAGAGTAGGCTTTTGCCAGTTGCTCCAGCTTCTCTGTAATGCTCTGGTTATGATTAATTTTCTTGCTTGCAGAGGAGTGGGCACAAACCCACTTGCTAGTGGGAAGCGACACAGAAGAATCTCCTGGCAAAGTGTTTGGGTCTTTGCCTGACCTCAGTGCTTCCAGTTCTCCCAGAGTGACAACAGGCTCTTCCCCTTCAGTTCCCTCGTTGTCCAAGATTGTCTTTGGAGAGAGGTAGAAGAGGAAGCTGTGAAATGTAGCCATTACTTATGCAAGCAATTGCAAGGCACTGGCTCATAATGCACCAAAGGCAGGGAGACTCTGAAACATTAAAGGGGATTGGTAGTCCCTGTGAGATCCACCACAATCGTTAGATAGGTTGAGAGAGAGAAAGAAAAAGCATAAGCTGTACTAACAGTTGCATATAACATGTTCCTCCCCTCAGTTATGATGATCATCTACAAGAAAGCATAGCTGGCAGAGTCCCTGCAGTGACCATAATGCTACGAATTCATTTAATTTATGAAGGTGGCTTTATTTTGGAGTGGTGGTGATGAGTGAGCATGAATAAGATGTCCCAGGTTACAGCAACTTTAGTGGCACAATTTCCTTTTGCTCTCTACTTCAGGCACTAGGGGGCAACATCCCATTATGAACATATCAGGTATTCCATTGACTAGTAGAAAACAGAAAGGATATAATACTTAAGAAGCTGAACAATGACTTACATTCATTACACCTTGTGGTCAAAATGCTATAAGGAGCACATTGTAGTCAATATGATCTTTTTATGTTCTGACTTTAGGGTGCTAACACTTTGTAACTAGTATTTTACTAGCTGTTTTTAATATTGCTTCAGAGTTGAGAAAGATTAAAATTCAAGGCAACTGGACATATAGAGCTTTTACACCAGTGTATATTTTTGCCAGATTCTCTGAATGAAGAGGAGACTTGGCATAAATGAACCTCAAGACATTGCCAAACAAAGACAGCAGCAGAATAACAAACATACATTCTAATCCAGAAACAATCTGCCAAAAGCTCCTTCTACATTTTCCTATTTTTGTAACTTTTAGGTGGTCTGAAGTGAAGCTTGCTAGAAAAACATACTCAGAGTAACCAAAGGAAGCACATGTTAGGTGCCCAGTTTCTACAATGACAGCCCAGCATTTGTTTAATAGAGGCAAATTCACTCCTTTCAGAAGAAAAAAATGGCTGTATCTGTAGACTCCACCTGCTGAATCTGTTGTCAACACACACGCCTCGTTCCAATTACAATATTGTTCCCTAATTCTAAGAGGAGCATGGCACTTTTTCATCTTTGGAACAAAGAGGTGTCAATCATGTTCACAGTGACAGCAGTTCTCTAAGATTTCAGGCAGGGCTTCCCCCCTGCCTTACCTGGAGATGTTGGGGATTGAACCTGGGATATTCTGCATGCAAGGCAAATGCTCTGTTACTGAGCTACAGCTCTTCCCCAATAAAAACCCTGGCATAACCTACAAAAATGCTCGAAAGCACAAAAATGGGAATCCGCTAAGTGGGCTCACCCCTTTAACTTCTGGCTGTCCTGAGGAATTTGCTGCACTACAGGGAGTGCTGGAAACATCTGCCTGAGATTCATCCTTCAGTGCCAGGACTGCACTCTCCATTTGAGACTGGACCATCACTTCACTCAGAAGTTGTGATTGCTGCTTTGAAGTGTCTGACACATCCAGATACCTGCCAAGAATCAAACGTACAGCAAGGTGCAATCACTGCTTCTGAAGGCAGCCATTCTATCCATAACAAGAGTGTGAGAAAATTGAAAAGAACTGAGGAATTCAATTCTCTTTCCTGTGTCCATTCCCAAAATAAGAAATGGATTTCCACATAAAACTTGCCACCACATGCTGAAGTAAGAAAGGCACCTACTTCTCCGGGATGAAGAGGCTGTAGCCAGTAGTCTTCAAGATCTGCTGTGCTGCAATACAGGAACTCAGCCAGGATGCCTTCACCAGTTGCAATCCCTGGGGTAACTTGGCCAGTTTGAGAAGCCGGAAAGCTCGGTCACAGTCCATGCCTTCATCCACTATAACATGTGTCACATCTGGGGAATAATGGCTGCAGACAATTCCCCCATTCTGGACGATCTGCTTGCGGAAGATCTCAGCCCTGGCCTGGCCAATTCCTGCTTGCAGCACATAGGCAGTGATTGGCTCCAACCATGCTGCTAATGAAAGCCAGAGAGAAATAGACTCAGCAAAGCAAGAGTGGGATTCATGTCTTATCTGAGTGATGGGAGTCTGACAGCCTGAAGCCATAACTAGTATGGAGAAGACCAGATATCTTGTAGCACACAGATAAGACTTCAAAATTCAATGCCTCCATTTGATTGGAACCTTTCAGGTTTAAGTGACCACTTGCACTAAAAGCTAGGCCAGGCTGTCTCATAGCTTCACATGGCTGAGGAAGCAAACAGAAAACTCACCTTGCTCATTCTTGGTTTCTTCTTTCAGTACCTTTGTAGGCACTGCCTTCTGTGAATCATATGTGATCTTCTTTCGTTTGGGGAAAGCTTTGACAATTCCTTGGGGCTCCATGGAACATGGATGCCTCCTGCCCAGGCAGGAGTAAGCAGTCTTACTGAGGAAGATGGTAAAGATTGCAAGAGTTTGAAGTGACTAACAACACAAAGGTATTTGTAAACCTGAAATGAAAATCAAGCTATCATATGTCCCATGCCAACAGGTGAAACGTAACCTTATACGCAACTTTAGCTAGCGGTGGAAATGAATGAGGTGCAAGACTCTGACATGCCAATAGGGTAACTTCAGTTTCTAGGAGGCATGCCTTAGCTTGTGATCTACCTTAATGACAGAGAATCCTCTAGCAAAAGGCACTCCCTATGTTAATTCAGTTGTGTGTTTAGAGCTGGCCATTTATTTTTCTGCAACAGGTGAAAGGCCCTGGTAGATATCCCATCAAATCATTAATAGGGTCTTATTCGCCTCAATTTGCAAAATGTGGTACATCCAAAGACCAATAGACTTAGTGCTTCATAGCAGTAACATAAGGCCACCTCCCTCAAGAATTCCTGAATACACACCAGCTCCACAGATGCCACTTTTTATTTATATAGCATCCTCAGTGTGCATGGTACTTTACAGAGTATGAGGGCAGGCCCCTGCCCAGGGGAGCTTTCAATTTAAAATTCAACTCAGGGGAACAGTTTGGCTCCAGTTGTTTTTTTTAAGGGGGTACAGGACAGGCTGTCTTCACTGGAGCCCCCAGCACAAACCAAAACATACATTCCAGGATCTGCTGCCCCGTGGGCCCTCTAGTGGTGATATTCCTGCAGCCACCAGACTCACCTCACACTTATCCACAGTGGCACTATAACAGGCAAGGTCCCAAGCAACCACTCAGTTCCTGGCCCATTACAGAGCTGTCACCATCTCTGAGAAGGTCCATGACAGCACGCAGGGAGGTGGTGGAGAAATTATCAGCCTCCTCCTGGCTCACCTGTTGCGGTCCTGCTGCAATGGGCTGGGAGTAGAGTGACTGCTCAGCAATTCATCCATTACATCACTGGTGTCTCAGACAAGCTCACAGGCAAGCCTGTGAAGGGTGCAGGATGCTGGTGACCACAGCAGTGCTGCCACTAGGGAGTCTAAATGGTGGTGGATACAGAGCATCAATCCTGGTGGCCCTGCTGGGGCCCTGAGAAATAAAAGTGGAGGCGAGGATAAACAGGGAAAGAACACACAATTGTTTGAGTTGCATGTGCTTAGGCTCAGTTACAGCCTTAGTTGCAGCAAGGCATAGGAACTAGGGAGCTGAGCCAAGGGCCTTACAGAAAAAGTAGGATTTGAGGAGGAATTTGAAAAATTAGGAAACACCACACAGGTATTCTGGGAGAGAGTTTCAAGCATAAGGGGAGAAAGGGTAGAGTATTTTGAGGGAGCAGGAGACTTTAGGATGGCTGAGGGTGGTAGAGCTGGAGGAGCCTCACTGGCAGAAACCTAACAGGGTGTTGGTAACAGGGCTACAGAAAGCTTTGGAGGCAAGGACGTGGAGCTTGTGCAGAATGCAAGAAGAGACAGAAAGCCAGAAGGAGATGTCTCACTTCCAGAGTGGAGTGCCGGACAGATGTGAGGAGACCAAGATGAGACAATGCAATGTAAAGGAGAATATTGCCGTCGCCTCAGGGAGAGGTAAACAGAGCCTGCTGGACTACGAATCCCATCACCCCGGCCAAGCAGGCTGGGAGATGGGGCTGATGGGAGATGTAGTCCAGCACCGCCACAGGCCCCAGGTCCCTCTCCACGTGGCAGCAAGGCTTCGCGCCGGCAGGCATGCAGGTTCGCCGACTCTTCCTGCACCTGTGCGCTCGCTCTCTTCTGATCTCCCCTCGGGTAGGATGAGGCCCACTAAGGAGGGAGGGAGGCGGGGCTAAAGAGACGCCCGGAGAGGCCTAGAAACGCCCCTCAGGCGGAGGAAGGAGCGCGCGCGGTGGGGGCGGGGAGCTATTTCGCGTTTTATTTCACTTACCCGGGGAGTCGCGGGCGCGAAAGAGGACTGGGGGGAGGGGGGGGAGAAGCAGCAAAACTCCCCCCCGCGCGGCGTTTTCTTCCGTGTCCGGTCAGGAGAGGCCGGAAGTGTAGGGCGGTTGCCCTGGCAATGCGTCCGGCGGCATCATGGCCGGGCCGAGTTGGCTGGAGCAGCTGCGCGCGGCGCGGAAGACCGCCCTGCTCGGGGACGGTAAATGGGAGCGGGGCGTCCTCGGCAGACCTTCCTCCGGGGAGCGGGGAGCGGCGAGGCCCGGATCCTGACGGGCTGAGGACGAGCACCGGCGAGGGACGGGGGTGGACCAGGGCGAGTACGAGGAAGCGGGGAAGGTAGAGCCCCGGGGCCAGTGGGGTGTATGCAATGCAGGGCTTAGGACTGCCGGCTGCGGTCCACGAAAGCCTGTGCCACAATAAATTTGGTTACAACACTCTATTGTCCCATGTCTTCTCCGAAATAAGACTCATTGGCTCCAGTGGGACTTGCTTCCAAGGTAAAGGGGTCTAGGAGCGATCCAATGCATATTTACTCAGAAATGGATCCTACTGTGTTCAGTTTGGGCTTGCTTCCAGGCGAGTGTGAGTTGGGCTGTCACCTTCGCATTAAGGCTGCTTTAGTGCGTACAGCCCAAGGGCTCGACTGAGGCGGCAGCCCCTGCTTGTGCTTACCTGGGAAGCAGCCCCAGTGAGGTGCCCTGGGAACTTGTCGAAGGGTGGGGGTATAAATCTCTTAAAATAACAATTAAAACTGAACTTAACTAAGAGTAAATTTGCAAAGGGTTGGGCGTTAGTCATTTACGCTTGGGTCAGTCCCATTGAAATCTCTGTCCGCTGTCCCATAAGATCAAGCTGCATGATTTAGGGTGGCAGTGTGAATGCCAGAATGCCACAGATGCTGTGGTCTAGACTTTTGGCGTCTCCAGCTAAGTCTTGGGGTAGCTGAAAGCAGGGTAAGGGAGTGTGTCAGTGGGTGGGACTTTTCTCCACATCATTTCTGTGGATTCACTCACCTCCGCTCTCCTTAGGTATGCGGAAAATCCATTACTTGTTTGACAATGGGAAGGAGATGGCAGAGGAATATGACCTGAAGACAAACCAGCTGCTTTGTAAGCAAGCTTCCTTTCTTTATTAGGAGTTTAAAATTGGTCATAACAGGGGCTTGGCCTATTAATAGTACAGGCTGATGAGAAGTAGGAGCTTGCATCTGACAGTTGCTGCACATAGCACAGGTCTGGGTTTCATGTTGATCATAGCAAAGGGAAGTTCCCAGTCAAAAATGCCTTTAGTTATAGCGCAGCTTCGAATTAGACCACTTGTGACTCATTCATTTCATCCTCCCTCTCAATTTGGTAATTATTTCCAACATAGGAGAAGTAGAATAGAATTGTACAGTGGTACCTCGGGTTAAGAACTTACCGTATTTTTTGCTCTATAAGACTCTTTTTCCCTCCTAAAAAGTAAGGGGAAATGTGTGTGCGTCTTATGGAGCGAATGCAGGCTGCGCAGCTATCCCAGAAGCCAGAACAGCGAGAGGGATTGCTGCTTTCACTGCGCAGTGATCCCTCTTGCTGTTCTGGCTTCTGAGATTCAGAATATTTTTTTTCTTGTTTTCCTCCTCCAAAAACTAGGTGCGTCTTGTGGTCTGGTGCGTCTTATAGAGCAAAAAATACGGTAATTTGTTTTGGAGGTCCGTTCTTAACCTGAAACTGTTCTTAACCTGAGGTACCTTTAGCTAATGGGGCCTCCTGCTGCCACCGCACCACCGCCGCACAATTTCTGTTTTCATCCTGAAGCAAAGTTCTTAACCTGAGGTACTATTTCTGGGTTAGCGGAGTCTGTAACCTGAAGCGTCTGTAACCTGAGGTACCACTGTACTTTGAGTTAGGAAGCAAATTCATACTTGACAGGACCACAGGAAAGAATACTCTTCTAGAATGAGCTTGCATGTTACATATTAGCAGTGATGCAAGTAGGAAATTTTCCCAATACTACATTTATCCTTGGACTTTTGTTTGTTTCTAAAACTGCATTATTCCATAAAATTCAGCAGTAACATGCATTAAGCATGTATGTCTGAGCCAGAAAAGACTCTGTGAGTATATTTCCATGAAAGTTGAAGGCCTGATTGTTTTGACCTTGCCCCTGAGGCCTCATGATCACACATCTCCCAACATCTGCATATTGAGTGTGAACATCTGAGCTGGGTAAGGCCACATATATAGACTTCTATAGGAGCTGAAACTCTGAGCATGATAGCCCCACCCTCAAGTTATGCGGTTCCCCATACCCATGTGGATCTCATGGGTGGGGAACTGTGCATGGCTCTGCTGCCCCTTTCAGCATGCGGGGCATAACTGAGGATAAATTAAAACTTAAAGTATAAATAACCCACCATTGTTAAATCAGCTTCAATTGGTTTTTAGCATTGGGAAATTTTCTTATTTCAGTTTTTTCCAGAAAACCTACACCATGCCTAGTGCAGTTTCTTGTTAATCATGTCTTACTCCTATATCAAAATTCTCAGTCATGCAACATCTGAAGTTACTCCTTGAAGTGTCAAGAGAATCCCATCCTCAAATGCAAAGTTACTGAGGATGTTTCCCTGAAAAAGCAATTGAAAGAGGTGCTTCCTTTCTGTTTCTTTGCAGTGAGGAAATGGAGAGAGAAGAATGCCTTGGGTGCTTGTGGCGCTTGGCAGGTTGAGGTGGGAGAGCCAAACTTGCTTGCATCAGGACCTCTGGATCGTGAGCTCATTAAGGAGAGCAGTACTAATGTAAGTAAGGCAAGTTCCTTTCTACATCACAGTCACCTCTGAAATTGCTATGGGTCTCATTTTCCTAGGTTACCTGTTCTGAATTCTGAGACTAGTTTGGCTTCTTAAGATGAGTAGTAATGCTTCCATTGCAAAGTAACATAATGTAGCTCATCTTAGCTTTGGAACAGAGAAAGAGGTAATGCATGGTTTCTGTTTCCTTGGGGATGTATCCGGGTTGGGAACCCTTATGTAGTACTCTGTTAGGTGACTTTACTTCGTGACTCACTGGAGAACATATGCCTATGACATTAGTGCTGGTATAAACTTGTAAAGCTGTCTCACACCAAGTCAGACTATTGCTCCATCAATATTACCTGACTGGCAGCAACTACTTACTGAATTAGGAATGTTTCCAAGTGCTACTGTTTAAAATAATTTAACCAAAGGTGCCAGATCCTAAAACTTTCTGCATGCAAGGCATGTGCTGCTCCACTATTCTATGGCCCTTCCTTAAGATAAATAGCTCTCTCCATAGAATGACCAAGGGAAATTCATGATCTCACCACCAGAATGGGGTAACCAATGTTCCTTGTGGAACAGGCTCATGATACCTCTACCAGAGACCACATTGTTCCTCATCTATGAGACCTTTGTTACTTTAACCTGTTTTCTTTCCTTCTGGCTTAAATCTAATACAGCTTTCTTCCTCCCCATTCCTCCACATCAGTTTCATTTGTGTATCCCGAAGAAGCCTCTGACTGCTTGGAAATTATATAAATGACTTACAGACTTAGAGAATTCCTGATACATTTGAAGAACTATAAGTGAGGGTGGGGGGGGTGACTTCAAAGAAACTCCATCCTCAGTACTGCTATGTGGGTCCACATAACTAGACCAAGCACCTGAATGTGCAAAGCCAAAAACTCCCCACTGCTATCTATTCCATCTGAGTGATGCCAGGATAACTGAAATGTGCCTTTTCTCTAGCCTATCTTTATGCGCAAAGACACCAAGAACAGCTTCCAGTGGCGGATCCGGAATTTGCCCTATCCTAAAGATGTCTATCGTGTTTCAGTGGAGAAGGATGAGCGCTGCTGTGTGGTCCGTACAACAAATAAGAAGTCAGTAAGCACAAGGTTCCCCTGAGGTGGGGTGAAGCTGAGTGGGGGGCTGCAGATTTTGATAAAGCCCAGCATCTGGAGAAAACTTATTGCAAAGTTTCATCACTTCTCCTCTTCCTGCTTGACAATAGCATTACAAACAGAAGCAAATGCATTTCTCAATCCCAATTTTTGATGAAGAAGTCGGGGGGGGGGGGACATTGATTTTCCCTTCCGTTCTCTAACCTATTTATTGTGCAATCCCTGAAAATTACCTAGAGGTGGTGCTGTTGGCAAAGAGCTGCTTTGCTCTCTTTGGCCAGTTATGTTTTTAAGTTAAAGTTCTTCTGAGGGCAAAGAATACTATTAATCAGTGACAGTAAAGGGCCATGGATATGGTTGAGACTTGTCGAACACTTTACAATGAAGGCCAGGCTACATTGACCCTGTAGGCCTTCCACTTAGCATCTTTGCTATCTGACTGCAATTGGCAGGTGCAAGATCAAGTTCTTGCTGCTCAATGGCCTCCTCTTGATAGGTATGGAGATGCTTAAGTACTTCTTGATTTAAGCAGCCCTTGACTAGCCTCGACTTTCTGCAGAAACGCATGGTGCATCTCATAACACAGGTATTCAGGGTCAACCAACAAAGTTGATTACCAGTAGATTGAGGCCACACAAAAGAGGGGACTTATTCACACTAACAGAATGGGCCGATGATCACTGGCTTTGATGGCTTTAAAGGAAACATGACAAATTGATAGGGGATTTACCTATCATTGGCTACTAGGTATGATAGTTAAATGGTATCTCTGCGTCCAAAAGCATAGCATCTCTGAATACCAACAGTAGAGAGCCGTTTCATGTTTTGCTTGTGGGCTACTGGTTAGCAGGCCTGTGCAGAAGAGGAGAAGAAGGGAGATAATTTTGGTTTTCACAACTGCGAGATTACCAAGAAGGGAAAGATGAGGTACATCTAGGTACATTAGATATACCTGGAGTAAACTGCTCTTAACTGTGTGCAGGATCAAATTCCCAGGATCTCCTCTTCAATAAGCAAGATATGTATTGTGAAAGGCAAAAGTGTTGGGTTGGCATCCACATCTTGAACTCAAAAGGTGACACATAAGGAGGAGTGTCTCCTGCCCTGTAAGCCTCTCTGTAGTTTAAGATTTACAGGAGAGGGCTTGCTCTCTTTTGTAGCACCTCCCTTATGGAACTCCCTTTCCAGCAAGGTCTGCCCAGCTGCAGTCCCCACCCCTGCTACTCAGAATGCCGGTGAAGTCCTTTTTCAAAAAGCTTCTGGGACTACAGATGGCTGCTAATATGGTGAATAGTGGTGGTGTGGGGATAAAATAATCTGAATTCAGGTTTCCTGCCCTTATTGCTAGTGGTATATTATTTAGAGAGGAGCAGAGATGCTGTGTGTGTTTGATCTTCTTTACAATTGTTGTACTCTTAGTGCTTTTACCAAAATCAGGCTTTTGTTTAGGCTAAATATAAACTCCTAAAAACCGTGTCAATTCTTGTGGCTCTGTAAACAAGTCTATGCCTGCACTTCGGAGTCCAAAGAGACTACAGTTAGGGATATCTTTATGCCTCCAACATCTGCATGGCAGGCAGAAGTTAAACAGATGAAATCTCCACGCAGGGAGATGCACTGAGGGAGAAAACTAAACCTATTGAACATTGACTATGCAGCTGTTGACAGCACAGGAGCCCTGCCAGAACACACAGCTGCCCCGAGGGACCTTAAAAAAGAAAATATTGCCATCCGCTCCAACTCATTCATTGTTGGCCCCTCTAGCCACAGCAAAAGGCTGCTCAAGTGGGATTTGCTCTAGCCCTCTTGCTGTAAAACAAATCCATTAAAGCAAACTTTCCAAACAAACAGACAAAGCCTCTTCAGCCACAGCAGATTCAATTATTGCAGGGCAAGGTAGCAGTTAACATTACACTAGAAGGGGGCAAAGCAGCAGATCTGTTTTCCTTTGATCTCTCACAGATTTTAGTTGGAGACCATACCAGGTATTATTTTTCCCACTACTTCAGTCCTGGGGAAGGCTGGGGGGCAAAGTTGGTGTTCCCAGTGCGGGCTCCTTAGGCTCTTTGAAACACTGGGCTTTTTCTGGGACCTGCTTTTTTATTGTCTCAATCAGTAAGAAGTTAACACTTCCTTAACATGTCTTTGTGTTCAACTAATCTTTGCAGTTTAACCTTTGACACCCCTATTATTATCCATGTCTGCCACCTTTCCCAAATTTACGCAGAAGGCTCCAAGCCCTGCGGTAACATTCCTTGCTAGCAGGCAAAGCATCCAAGGCTGGTTGTCCTTTGTATGCATTTTCGCTAAGGCTTGGAAAATAAAGGGTTCATGTTTTGTGCAGCAGTAGTTCAAGCAGTCGACCTCTAAGCAGAACGGGCTTAATGGAGAAGGATTGCTTATGGGCCTGACACCAGGGAATAAATTCTCCCATTCAGTTTGGGGCACCAGAAACATGTCCATGTGATGAGGGAATTTCACAAGGGAAGAGTAACAAAGGGGCTAAATGGTAGTAGTGCAGAGGGTGGGGTAGGGGGGAGATAAGAATAATGTTCATTCAGTTTTGTTAAGTCATAGTTTGGTAGAAGACAGACTGTTTAGATCCACCAGATACTTGGCAGGACAAAGGTGTATGAACCAGTACAGATTCAAGGTAATTGAAAATAAACAGCCCTTCAAACTGTTATGGTTCTCTCCCACTTTACCCAGCACTCTGCAGCCATATTTGGAAAACACAGCTTTCACATGATTAAGAAATCTTAAGTCAGTTGGTGTTACAGTGGTACCTTGGTTTTTGAACGTCTCGGAAGTCGAACGTTTTGGTTTTCGAATGCTGAAAACTTGGAAGTAAATGCTTCCATTTTCGAACGAATCTTGGAAATCGAAATTCAATTTTCTCTATTGAATTTGCAGACCACCCTTTGCACCTCGGGTTTTCGAACATTTCGGAAGTCGAACAGTCTTCCAGAATGGATTATGTTCGAAAACTGAGGTACCACTGTATTCATATTGACTTATTAATAAAAATAAAATTCATTAATAGAGCTAGTCCAACTTTAGCTGGGGTGTGGGACAGAATGGTGTAGCCACCACTGCACTCATGCTGGCAGGAATGGAATGCAGGGCACACAGGCAAACCCATGTGGCAAACGCTGCACTATGCTATTCTGGGGTTGGTGTAGCAACTGGACCCATATCTGGACCAGTGCCATCAACTAACAGCAGTGGTGCTGACTCACCTGTACCCCTTCCTGCTCACACCTTTGGTAGGAGGATCTAGAAGCTGCACACTGGAGGAGTGGAGCTGCTGTTGGGACTGGGCAGAGGGAGACCTGCACAGCAAATCAGGGAGATAGTTTGCAGCCTAAATGTGCACATGAGAAAATAAATCTAAGGGGAAAACAAGCACATTTCATTTTTGAATGATGCTGTGTTGTAGTAGATATCATCTGTGGAATCCCTCCTCTCTCATAGCAGGTGGGATATCTTAAAATGGTGCTTGCCATTGCAATTTATATGTACTTGCATTAAAAAAACACTATAGTCCCAGCAACCAGGGACATCTTCAGAATCAATCAAAATGTGTGCTTTTAAAATTGATTAAACATGCAGCCATGTTGGGAGAGTGATCAATGTTAAATATTGAAACTGTTTCTGGTCAAAATAGAAGTATGAATGCATTTCTGTTTCTCTAACTTGGAGATTAGGTTTTATGTATAGGATTACATCATAATGAACTAGCATTCCAAAGATGACAAAAATAACAGCAAAAATTGGTCTTACCCTCACATTCTCTCTCATGCTTATCTTCAGATATTACAAGAAATTCTCCGTTCCTGACTTAGACAGATTCCAACTGCCCTTGGATAGTACTGCTCTGAGCTTTACTCATGCCAATAACACATTAATAATCACGGTAGGTACCTATAAGACTAATTTGTCAATGTAACTCAGAACTTTTCCTGGCCTTCCTTTTGGTATCACCACCTCTGTGAAAACTGGGGAAACAAATAGAAAAACAGGCCCATAAGTACAATGGAAAATTACAAAATTAGAAGCTAATAAGTCTCTTGAGGTTTAGTAGGAAAAATCCTAATTACTATTTCTGTTTCTGCTTCAGAGTTTAGAATGCCATAGGATTTACACATTTCCTCCTCTCCCATGAGTAACCATCTTTTTCTTATGGCTGTAATGTTTAGTGTAGATATTCAAAACTGCTTGGGTATATGAAGTAGAATGTAATAGCCAGCAAAGTTAAGTGCATAGTTTGCCAGGGGAGACTGTACAGTCCAGTAGTCTAACCAGGGTTAAGTTCCAATATGAGATAACATGCATTAAATCAGATGCATTTGAGATACAGTTTTATGCTATATTTCCTCTGTAAATTCTTATGCTCAGTGTTATTGAATTTGGGGGTGACTGCAAAGACTTGGCAAGTGTGAGAATTTCCAAGGGCTTGCAACCATGACACTGTGTAACAGCTCTGTTTGTGCTAGAGATATATGCGGCTTATTCGTTTTCACAGTACCTGAAGCCAGCAGAGATTCTGGCTGCAGAGGAGGAGCTGCAAAAGGAGCTAAAGAAGATCAAGGCAGCTAATAATGGAGATGGGGAATGCAAGACACAGTAGCCAGCAGTTGCAGAATCTCATCTGTATATATTTTACTACTTTTATTTAATAAAGGAGATGATTGGAGACAAACTTTTTGGGGAAGGACTTAAGTTACCTGAGTTTGTAGATTCTGAAAGAGCTTCTCGCAAAACTTTTAGAGCTCCCCATCAGCCTGCTGGTGTCCAGCACAGGTGAGAAGCACCAGTCTCTTAGGAGTTGACGTCTTTGTATGTGTGCTAATTACAATTCTCAGGGAGCCAAAACTCCCATATTGGCCTGAATATAAGCCGCACCTTTAAAATTGGAGGGGAGGAAGAAAAAAAGAAAAAAATGCCCAAATATCAGCTGCTCCATTCCTCGTTGCTGCTGGCTGCATACTGGGGGGGGCGAGCCGTGCTGCGTTGCCGGTGGCCTTTTCCCTTCCTCCCTCTCTCCCTTCCCAGCCTTGGGGGACTACATATGGGGCGGGCACCACTATGCTGCGCTCCTGGCGCTGTTTGCCTCACACTCCCGGCTGCATACTGTAAGGTCGTGAATATAAGCTGCGCTTTCACTTTTCACAGTCAGAATTTGGGGGGGAAAGTGAGGCTTATACTCAGGCCAATATGGTATATGCATCCTCTATAGCACTATGAATTACTTTAAAGGTTCTAAAAACTTGTGTCTTTGTCTTCAAGAATATGGCAGGAGAGAGGTCCCAGAAAAAAGATGAGTACCATTACTTCTCCTACTGCATGCAATAGCATTTAAAGTTGATATAAAGGGAAGTGCAAGAACCAAGTAAGCATAGCTTACATAGTTTCCAGCTGACAGTGTCAGCTGCCCGCAGTTGCCCCTCAAACTGAACGCCCAACCTGTTTCAAACAAAGCATAAAGGATTTTTTCCCACTGCCTTTGCCCTAGAACGTGTATATTCTGAGCTCTCAATACTTTGACCTCTCTCAGTATATCATTTATGCCAGTTTGTACCACTATTGAAGGTATCAATTTCATTTTAATAAAAGCAAATGTTCAAATTTCTATGCTGGTTTCTCAATCCCGTATGCGTGGAAGAATAACCTGATCTTGTAACAATATCTGTCCATTCTGTCATTCTTCTATGAAAACTATATCCCTCCCAGCCTGATCCCAATTTTATATGTGAATAATGGCTAGAATTTTTTAATTAAACAACAACATAGGCCAGGCACACAACAGGCAAAAGGTAGATGATTATCTTTAAGCTGCAGGTTCACAAACCTTAAAAGCACAGCCTTTCCTAGTTTCCATAGAACTCTGCTATACTAATGGCAAATAGAACCAACAAGGTTACTTGCAACAAAATGTTATAGTCTGTAGAGCTGCTGTTCAGCGGTCCAGCCATTTCCCCCTCATTGGACATTCAGCATTCTTTGGCTAGGCATGCTCAGTCCTCAATGAGTTGCTGCTGGGCGCTGCCCTATAAATGTTTGTATTCCTGAAGATCTTTTAACCTTTGGTTTCTCTCCTAAGCATGCTGATTTCTCAGTGTCGCTCACTGAATTTGTTAGGACTGTATATCTTAATGGAAGGCTGGAGAGAGGATGATCAAGGAACGTGTCACAATCACAGATGTTTGTTGGGAGTGGCTGACGGGCTAGGGTACTTGGCTACTTTCCCCCTGTTGTGTCCTACTCTTAGAAGTAACCAGGAATGGATGTTGCACAAAGTTCTCGGAGAAAAACATCCTAGTAGATTGCGGTCAATCGCAGGCAAGTAATGTCCCCTTAATGGATTGCAGGCGCTAGGTCCCTTCGTTGGCGCCGCAGCAGCAGTGACTGTTGCGGGAAAGCGAAATTAATGTTAGCTGTATCACAGTGTGTGATATGCACCTTTTTAATTATTTCCCCCCCTGATTGTCTTTTTTCCTCCCCCTCAAAAAAAAAGGTCAACACCTCCATTGACAATGGGTAGATCTTTGCCAGTTATTTTCTACTGGGAGTAGATCGCAGTCTCTTGGGAGTTGGATGTGCGTGATGTAGTTCATTGTTTCAAAAGTTACAGCTGTAGAAATAACTTTATTTTTAGTAAGCAAATCAATGCATTTGATCCTAGGAATCTATTCAAATTATACAGCTATTAGTCAGTCACTGGTTTTGAACTCACATTCTTTCTTCCCATTGTAAAATTTATTTAGCACATTGACCTGACAACACCTTTCTAGTGCAGCACTGTTTGTATGCAGCCAGTTAAAAATTGGTACAATTTGCACAGAGTAATCTAAGGCTTTGGTCTTATAGCCCAGTGTCCATTTATGTGGCAGTGATGAGAGTCAGTGAAGTAAGCAGCTAGTCCCATCCTCCTAAACTAAATCCAAAACATGAAGAATGGTTGGCTTGCAGCATTCAGAGGCCCAAACAGAATCTATGCTGATAGCAAAAGAGAATGCACAAGTTGCCAAGCTGAATAATGCCTTCAAATAAATTAAAATGCAACACAGAACCCCAAAATGTGCAAAATAAAATGAGGCAAGGAGACATTAGCCTTTAATGGAACCAGAAGGCAGGTGAGCATTCCTTCCTTGGGTTCCCCCATAGCACTTAGTGTGTTTCAGGCTGCTTGTTCTGTCAAGGTAATCATTTCCTTTTTGTGCTCCCTGAGCTGGGTATTATATCTGCAGTCCAAGCCAATCTCCATCAGGAGGTAGTAAAATCAAGGGCATACAGGGCAGATGCCAGGGTGGCATAGAGATGAGTGGTGCTGAAGCGCAGGCAATACACAGGACTGCTGGTGGGTGATGACAAGTAGAAGCTCTGTAAAGAAAAAAGATAAAAGATCCTCCTAGATAGGTGATTTCTGTTATTCAGGAATGAGAGCCAGTGATAAGATGGCAATCATCCAGCACCCACAAAATTCCATTGCACCCTGTAAATCTGCATCTGCATCATAGTAAGAAGATGACAGAACTGAGATGAGGCAACAGTGAGGGCACTGCCAATTGTCTTTCTGAATGAGACCAGCTCAAAGTGGCAGCAATAGCTTGAGAAATCGCCACTACACAGATATATTCCTACTGACATCTTTGGAGTTTGACGGAACCCAAAGCTGTTGTATCAGATCCCCATAGGCAATTCCTTGCTCTCCCAGTTAATTTGCATTCATTTATTTAGAACACTTCTTGATTGCCCAATCAACAAAGTCCCCTGGGCAGTTCACCCAGAGTTCAAACAATGAAAACTTTAAAATTATTAAAACATTAAAAATGAATCAGTTCAGTTTCCTGCCTAAAAACCAGCACAAAACAGCATGTCAGCATTTAAAACCTGTACCTGGTCTCATGAAGTCATAAACACAATTCCTTGTCCTAGTACCATGACAATATGGAGCAGCTGGCAGGCTTGTTTTGGTCCTGTAAGAACATCTGTATCCCACCCTTCTGGAGCTCAAGGTGACAAACACAATTCCCGTCCCCCAGCCAAAAATTAGTGTGTAGCAGGCTTGTGCCCCAGGGAGGTCACTTTGGTGCTGCTAATGCAGTGGTTGGACTTCACCCCCGAAGGCACACTCCACTGTGTCTTGAGATAGACGGATGCCAACAAACCAGCACTGAACAAGTTACTAAGCTTCATGGCTGAGTAGGTATTTGAACTCCCATCTATTACTGTTTACGTAAAGCAATCAGGAATGAGCAGAAGTGGCCCACATCTCCACACCCTTATTCCCTGTACGGGAAACTTGATATAGTTCCCCTTTTAACAACTTTTGGAAACATAATGGTGATTACTTACCTGTAAGCACCTGGTTTGTCGCTTATCCCAAAGACGGACCACGCCATAATAAGAAGATCCACTTGCAATCATGTGATTCCCATTGCTCCTAATGCAGTACAGGGCACTGTCGTGAGGCTCTTCCCATTGTTTGACACATTCCCTTTTGGGGAGAAAAATGTCACAAAAGACCTTTAGAGCATTCTTTTCCACATACTGGATCACCCGTCCTTATGGGTAGCCTGGAATGTCAGAGCAAGACACCCAGGAAATTAGCAACCAAAATTTTTCCAACCAGCTTTGATAAATAGGCTGCAAGACTGACCTTGTGCTCGTCCGTAAATCCCAGTATCGGATATAGGTATCATACCCACAAGACAGCAAGGTGGAAGGTGTTTCATAGAAAACATCCAGGACTCCAGCTCCTCGATGGAAGTCTGTCCCAAGGCAGGAAACTAGTTGCCCACTGAAAAGAGAACCGATTATGGTACTGAACATCTTTTTATTACATACGTTAGGCTTCTGTTTTGATGCAGTTCTTCTGTCAGGGAAGATTAATGAAACGAAAGTGTTGAAAGATCATTCAAGTGCAGGTTAGTTTTGTATCCAGTTTTTTTAAAAGAAAAAGAGCACAGGTTGCCTACCAGGACAAATAAATAATAGCCATTTTTCCTTTGAAAGTATAAAAGCCGTTACTCAAATCTACCTCTCACACTAAGCAGAACTAATATGTTTTTCTGTAAAGCAAAGAGCACTGGTAAGCAGCCCTTATATTAGCAAACATGGAGATTAATTTAGATAATATACTAGTTGTGGAATCCATAGACACCACATTAGTGGTCATTAGAAGATCTCTGTAAATATGAAGGGGTATATATGCTTGGCTGTAGTATAATTCTCCCTCTGGTATTATTTTCTTAGCACTCTGCTTCTATATCTAGCCATAACAATTTGGGGCTTCCTTGGCAAGAAAGGGCAACCACTTTGTGAACAGCAAGACGTACAACTGTGTCAGAAAATAAATCTTTGTTGAGAGCACTACTATCCTTGACAAACAAAGACTCACGCAAAAGACCTCCCTGGTAGACTGAAGGAACACTTACTTGATATAGTGGAAAACAGCATGTGCTGGAAACAATTGTGCTTCTCCAAGGGTTCTATGTATTTTGTCTTTGTGCTAATAGCCCTAAGCAATCCTCTCTTGTCTACAAATACCAGCACAGCAAGGAAGGAGACACTCAATCAGTGCAATCCCACATTATGGCTGGAAGATCACTGATCAATTGTAAATGCAAGAGTTCAGAACGGAAAGCAGGTTTTCATGAAGACTGTGGACCATAGCAGTGAGCTGCATTCTGCAGCTCAATTGTTTAGGAAGCTTTTGCCTGTTACTGCCCCCCCCCCGCCCCCAGCATTCATGTAAAATGGTTACTTGTATACCTGAGAATGTAAAGCATGAACATGGCAAAAAAAAAAGTCCAGTGTTTGGAAGCATGTGTACCCTGAAAATTGCTAGGAAGCCTTTACTCCCTTTGTTGCACATACATGGCAAAAACGATATTTGCTGCCATGTGATGAGTAAAGCTGCCCTTGGTTTCTGATCTGTCCAACTCTGAATGAGTGAAGGATTCTTCTCATGGGAAACATTTTCTGGCTCACTGCATTTTTAGGCAGCATCTCTGCAGTACTGAAAAGCAACTCCATTTCTCCAAGACTCATTTCCTTTTTTTATTTTGTTCTCACCTAGATGGGTTGCACTGCATCTGTACTCCAGATATGCTTTTTGTTTTCAGTAAACCCTTTCTTTCAGTTCACCTAGATTGGTTCCCTTCTTCCAGCCAGCCTCTTGCATGTAATGTTAGTGTTAGAGATGACAGCATTCACTGCACTTCCATCATTATCATGAAAGCATTTCAACCTGCTCTGTCGTGAACTCTTAGCATTGCAAGACAACAATGCCCAAGGGAACTATCTAGACTTTTTCTAGTGCTCAAATTACACAGGATACAGCAGTCCCCTATCTTTCATGTCAGCTTATCTCTCATGGCAGCCTTCGGGGGGGGGGAAGCATGATACGGCTAAAATTGGGGAGGACTGGGGATGGACCATATCGTCGTTGTTTTTAAGTGTCCCCACATCACACAACCAACACTGAAAGGCAGGCTGTGTTCATTCCCATGATCTGAATCAGTCTATTGAGCAGGCTCACTTTAGATGAAAAGCCACCTGAGGCTGCTTTCACAGGGACCCAGTCTGACAGACATGGCTCGGGTTGCAGAACTTTCTGCAGCCACTTCCCCATGTCTAAACTGGAAGGAGAGGAGCTGCTTCTGCAATGCCCCACCTTATTCAGAAGGCATTTTCATAAAGGAATGAGAATGCAACTTTATATCAGGAGACAGTTAAGGACCAAATGGTCACGAAAGGCAAAAGGATTGCAAAGAATAAGAGGCTGAATAAGACAGCTGAGTAGTTCCCTTCCTTCATTACAGCTACAAGGTCTGTCTAGCACAGGGCTCTCTGATTAATTAATACATGCTCCTAATCCACCTCCCTTGCAAGAGAAAGCCGGGCTGCCACAGTTCTCACTACCACTCAGACAACAGTGTCCAATGAAGCCCATTCAGCCACTAAAGACCCACATGTTCCCAGCCCTTCTCCTCCTCCCTAACGGTCTAATCAGAACTGGTCACAAAGCACCGAGCGCCTGCTTTTCAGGCTGCCGCACTGGCTCTCGCTCCGTGGGACAATGCAGCCCCACTCCCTGAAGCAACTAGTGCCTTCCCCTCCTCCCAGTTATTTTGTTACTTTCTGCTCCTTGATCCCGTATCAGTCTTTCTGGGGCACCCGAGCCAGAGGCCTTAATTCCATCTGTAATCTGGGCTAAAGCCCCATCGGGGGTGGGGGGGATAAAGACCACACAATAGGCGAAATAGAGTCCCGGGAGATGTTCAAACAAGTAAACACCGTTGTGTCAGAGGAGCAAAATTGCTGAGAAAGCAGATTAGCACCAGCAGCACTGGTGTCCCCCAGATCAGAAGGTGAGCCCTGCCCTGCTCGCCAGAGCCAACACGCTTCCATGATCACAGCACCGGCGGCCTGCTGGGGCCGGCCCATCTCCCCCAGTCACTCTCCAAAAAGCAGATTACGGAGAATAACAATTTCTTTGTGGCTGTGTAATTCCCTCCGTGACCGTGACTGTGGAACACTCCATCGGGCCGTAATGCCAAGGCCTTAGCAACCATTTAACACAACCAGTCGGCCCTAGCGATGCTCCCCCCAAGGCAAACCTCTTGGGCAAGCTTTAACATCAAGTGCAGGAATTAATCCTCATCCCTCCCCCCCCCCGACCCACCCACAAAACCTGAATCCAGGGGTGCTGTGTTATTGCACTTTGTGTTTCTCAAGGCAGGGAATTGCTGGACAAGTTCTTAAAACATTAACCCTTGGAGGGAAGGAGTGTAGCCCATCTGCTCTATACAATATGCAGCTAGAGGTAGATGAGGGGAGGACGTTTGCAGGATCAGGGCAGGAGTAAGAGGCAGGGGACCCATCATCTAAAGAAAGAGGGACTCCTAGCCAAAACAAAAACAAAGAAAACTGCCCCGCTTTAGCAATTCAGAGGAGGAGTTGGGGGAAATGAGGTTAGTGGGAGCTATACTTAGGCACCCTACTTAGGGATGCTGGCCAGATGTATATGGAAGCATACAGAGGCAACTATATCACCACACATTGGGAGCTCTCCAGAGACCTGGCTTTGCTTCTCTGGCTTTGCCATATTCCTCAGCCTGGCTCTTGAAATGCAGAACCTCAAGATATGAAGAGGATTTCCTGTCTCTCAAAAGGAGGAACACCTGAAAGGATGATCCTTTAACTCCTGGCCAAGAACATCCTGATAAGTTGAGGTTTGCCTGTCCAAACGGATCCAAAAGTCGTAGAATTCATAGAAGCATAGAATTGGAAGGGACCCTGAGGATCATCTAGTCCAACCTCCTGCAATGCAGGAATATACAGTTGTCCCATATGGGGATCGAACCTGCAAACGTGGTTACCACCACCATGCTGATAACTGAGCTACTTGACCACATATCACTGTGATTATACTGCAGTTGTGTGACTGACAGAGTTGCCTGAAAAATGCTCCTTAGATCATGGCTGAACTGCAAATAAGCTTTCCTCTCCTACACTCACATTAGTGAAAAACTTTCCAAGTTGTAAAAAAAGAAGAAAAAAGCTCTTGACAAAAGCCAATAAGGAGAACAGAATTGGAAGCACATCATCTATAGAGGTGCTTCTATGAACATTAGAAAATCTAGAGATTACTTGGGCAGAGAACATTTATCAGGAACTGAGACCATAGCACTTAAGTTAATCATGGTTATAAAGTAAAATAATATTGTGTAACATTAAAATGAAGCCACCCTAATCACCTCACAAAAACTTTTTTAAAAAGCAAACGTCCAGAAATTCTCATGGGATGCTGAAGATTTAACAGAGCTTCTATCCTTTCTAATGAAAGCACCTGCGGTTTTTCTCCCTTGATACAGCATGAGTAGCACCACATTTGGATGGAAGAGATGTACAGGCAGTTCCCCTAAAAAGAATCTATAACTTAAAAGAAGCCCATTCCTGACTTGTGCAGTGTGTAACATACCCTAAGCCAGTGGTTTTCAACCCTTTTTGTTGAGCAAGCCCTGTAACAAGCTCCCCCTCCTGGAAAGTGAAATAAAAACATTTTTAAACTATTACAAAATTCAAAGGCAAAAGTTTGCAATAACTAATCATTACTTGGAATTATTCAACATCATGGGACAAGAATGTTCACAAACGTATTTCCAAGACTTCATTAAGCTTTCAGTGTCAAGACTTGAGCTTGGTGAATTTTGCAATATACAGTATGTCATGAGACAAACTCAGGCCGTGTGCTATTTGTGGACACTTCCCACTATTGGACCGCAGATGTCTGGCCAGCATGAGAGGGCAAAGCAAAATGCCTAAGATGGGAGGCTGTAACATTTTGCAGAATCCCATGGGGATGCTTGCTGAACCCAAGGTTTCTATGAAAAATACTGCCCCAAGTGTACTATACTAACAGAGCCTTCCAAAAGCTCTTTTTGTCTGAAACTGTAACAGGGAGCTAAGGACATGTTGCAAGGCACTTTTGGGTGGGGGGCGTGGATATGGAGGCATTTCAATCTAAAAGCACTTCTAAAGGTGGTATAAACTACATTCCCATTTGTAAGGAGGATCTGTTAGTGCAAATGAGCTCTCAAGTCTGCAGATGCATCCACAGGAGCTCTCCACCCTTTATCCTGACATGAGATCTGTAGCACTTACAACTGCTACATTTACTTACTCACCCACTCATTCTCTTTTGTGTCTGAGACACGACTTCTCCATCAGCACCTCACCTACCTTCCAGGCTGGGGAAGGATAACATCAAAATGTGCTGGCAGATGGGGACTG